GAATAATCAAAATTGTCAATAGAGTCATTAATAAATATCCATTAAAATTCAAATACGAATATAAGGTATAAGCCATTAACTACATATAATATATGTGAAATACACACAATAAAGCTTCGTAAAATGAATATTTAATTCAACACCAGTATGTTGATGCCTTCTCAAATCAATGTCATAATCAATGTTATATATTAATAAATTTTAACAACCCAATTAGAACATTGTCAGAATAAATTAAAATGATTAATATACATATTAAAAATAATAATAATTATTCTACATGGACAGTATTGAAATAAATAAAATAAAATAATTACTCATTCAAAAATTCAACATTTTAAATAATTAATAAAAAACTTTTAATTATACTATCATTTTAAATTAATGATTATCAAATATACTTATATATATATATATATATATATATATATATATATATCATAAGTAATTTATTATGTAAAAGTTAAAACTAATAAATCAATAAAAAAAAAAAGATTATAGAAAATAAAACTACTGAACAAATAACATACCCGTATGTAAGAATATAGCATATGGCAATAACAAATTTTATAATTTTACTCTAATATAATCAACTAATTATGTGACAAAAGGTATTATGACCTTAATTCAATTAAATGTAGCAAACCCAATATTGCAAGAATAATGAGTTAATTAAATAACTAAATAATAATTTAAATCAATCTCACCTAAATATCAAATAAAATGTTTCTCGTAACATCTTTATATGGTACAGTCATCCATAATCCCAGCGCTGCTTAACTTCAAATAATGATATCTGAAAAATATTTAATAAAAGAATAATATTTGTTCATAATCACACAAAAATACTATAAATAATAATAAAACGAACAAACAAATTAATTAATAACCAAATGAACATTAACAAAATAAATAAAGAATTAAATAATAAATTCATAGTGTATATTAAAATTTAAAGACTAAGAAAATTTAGAAAACTCAATATTAAAAACGAGACTATAATTGTACAAAAATAAATATATATATATATAATTAAATAAGAAAGCAAAAATCAATTAAAATAAAAATTCATACTTAACTCTTTGTCCCATGCAAAATTATAAAAGCCTCTTAAAAGACGTTCAATGCCAACGTTGCGTGTCTCGTTATCTCCCCTCTGGTATGTATGATTTCATCCTATGACTTCACCCTCTGATTCAACGCAAGAACTGTAACAAAGAAATTATAAGTGAGAAATAATATTGATCATATAAGAACACAATAAAAATTAATAAATTACTAATTATCCATAGGATTTATTATTAACAGCAAAAAAAATATACACCCGTGTATTCTAAATATTATTTTCAAAATAATAAATACATCGACAATAAAATAATTCAATAAGACATATTAATAAACGACATACTTTATTAAAATCATTTATTAAATTATAATTAAATTTATTAAAGGTAATTTTTTTTTCTATCTACAGACACTCATATAATAACCAGATATAAAAACAAATAATAAATAATTCATAAGTCTATAAATAATAATAAATAATAAAATAAATAAATTTAATAAAATAAATCCAATAATGAATAACTATAAATAATACAATGCTATAAATTAAAGAAATCATTTAATAAATGTAAAATTCTATACTCACGCTTTATTATATAGAAAATATTCAAGGCCTCTTAAAGATCAACCTTTGCACATTTAGTAAGCGTGACATTAATTATATTACCCAGTTGAAACACCACTCAAAACAATAGAATTATAAATGAGAGAAATAATAATATAACTATAATGCTAAAATATTATAAAATAATTAACGAATATGAATGATTTAATAAATCGAGAAAACTCGTACAAAATTATATACAACAAAGCGTTACTTAATAAATATAAATCAAATAAGAAAATAATGAAATCATATGTAATAAATTAAATTATGATAATATTAATGTTAAAATCAAAAACACAAAGAATGAATAACTATATATGCACAAAATAAATATTAAATCTAATTAATTAAATGACAAAAATCAGCTGAAAGAAAATAATGAATAAACATATATACATATAAATATAATATATAAAAACCTAATAATAATTAATACTTCAGAAGAAAATTTATTGCGTGAATAATTCAGCATGCAAATTAGAATACAGTCTATAAGCATTGTGCGAAAGAAAGGCACTCTTATCTCCCCTCATATTTTTCTGCGCCGACCGCCTTATCTCCCCCTTGGTATGCGAACCAAGACAATAGAGAACTTCGAATAAAGAAATTAAAATAAGACTTTGAATCAATTTCAATTAATAAACTTCTCTTCATACGAAATAAAATTTATAATATTCATAATTATTAATATTCAGACTTTATAAAATTTCATGTAACATATATATATATATACTGATCGAAAGATATAATTCGAAATTTATTATTTAAACAATACCAGTCATTTTAATAATTTTAATAATATACACACACATATATATATATATATATATATATATATATATATGAATAATTAAAAGAATATTATTCAATACAGACTATTAGAGTGTCATAAGTAAGTCCGGCGTACCGTCTTATCTCCCCTATTTCTTTGTTATCTCCCCTTCAAAATGCGACGTCTCAAGACCAAGCGCACTCGAAATAATAGCACGAGAATAATAGCATGCATAAAGCTGTTCTCAATTTTATTAATATTAATGAATAAAAATATTAATTTACTTTCACAAATCAAATTTACATATCCATAAAAAACAAAGATGCAAAGCATATGCATATGAATATTACTAATAATTATTCAATTATTAAAGTCTATTAATTTAGCATTTATTATGTATACATTATAAATAATTTTTCTTTTAAATAAATAAATTTATTAAATAAAAAGAATAAATGCACACATACGTATATGCATATACATATATATATTTACGTATATGTATCTTTATTAAAAGAATAAAATTATTGAAATAAAATTATTGCATGCAATTATTGAATGCGAAATTATAAAAGTATAAGAATAGTATTTACCGAGTGACTCAGTTATCTCCCCTATTGTTCTCTTATCTCCCCTTCATCCGGTGCAGCTGCGCTCCGAGCTTATCTCCCCTTCATCCGGTCGCCGCATTCCTTTCTTTGTCCGCTGTGACAGATTAAAATAATATTATAATTTCGAACTCCTAGCGTTAATAATTATTATTCTTCATTATAAAATTATTATTTTATGATCAACAATTATTACCTACAATTTATAATTATATTATGCAATTAATCTTTTATAAAATTATGTTAAACACATTATTTTGTTAATAACAATGTAATTACAATGATTTGAAGCACCGGAATTTGACGATATTATTAATAATTATTTTTTTTATATTATTACACAATAGTTAATGATTACTTTTAAACAAAGCATTTTACAAAGATTATTCATGTCTTAAATGATAAAGAAAAATTCACTGATTCAAAATATATAAATATATATATATTGCAAAAATTCTGGAAGCTAATAAATTATTGTAAAAAGACTTACCGTTATAATTATATGAACAATGTCTCGACGCACAAGCACAACTGACAGCTCCGCGGTCCCCCACTACGTACCGCGCGCCCACTACGTACCGCGCGCCCACTACGTCATAGCGCGCTTGAAGAAGAGAGACAGCACTAGCGACGGAACAGCCAATGCGCTTCTCTTACCACCTCCAACGCCTGCTTCTTACCATCTCCAACGCCTGGAACAGAAGTGGGAATCGACAGTATTTCAAGGAGTGAACCACAGACAGCAGTCGCTAGTTACAGTCCACAGAGAGTAGTTGCAAGTTGCATGCGCCGTCTTGTGCGCGCTTTTCATTCAGTCAGTCATTAGCAGTCAAGCTTACCGGACATACACATAATAAAACTTAGTCGCGATTTTAATTTTTCTTTTTTTTGAGACTTAGTCTCTAGATATAATAGAATTGTATAACCAATAATATTCCAATAAAAGTGATTTTTACTCACCATCTTCGATCTTCTGCCAACTTCTTGAATCGCCCTGTCACTTCTCCAAATCTCCACCGAGGTAGAGCAGTTTTGGGAAAGAACAGCGGTCCTCTCATACATCTGCGAATTCCATCAACCGGTAAGTAATAAAATTCAATAATCAACTAATTATTTCTTTAATAACTCAACTTTAATCTTGCATGACAACTCAACTATTCTTACTACTTTAATAATTTTTCCTGAACCATACCTTACCATTGCACAGACTTTTAGTTTTTCTTTGTGATTGAAATTCCAATTTCAACCGGTCCTCAGTATTAAATACTTAGAGCGTAGCGCCGTTCTGGTCAGTCACTTGATGTGCATTGGGTAGCATACTACTCCTCTGCCGTTTTCATAAAAGGATTCTTTTGAAGAATTTCTTTATGGATTCTGAGCCGCTGTGACGGGACGTCTTGCACATCGATACTTGACCTCGAATGAAAGACTGGCTCTTAGAGGATCTGTCGAAATAATAGACTTTATGCACTGGCTTATAATTCAATTATTAAAATATTCAATTAATTTTATACTTACTTAATATAAGCCAGCCGCTTTTATTTTTATGTCATTAAGTGACATAGTCTGTATCCATATATCCCTTCCTGTCTAGACACTTCTGATCGAATCTGAAAATTTTAAACACAAATTAATAATTCATAATTATCATTCAATATATTTATATACACATTTTAACAATCTTAATACGGAACATATGCTTTTAAAACTCTATTTCAATATTTAATTCCTATTTTTACTATATTATTTTAAATCTCTAATACTTTATCTTACCCTAATTATTTTCAATACTTTGTTTTCCGAATATTTTACAGACTCTATTTTTCAAACTCAACTATACTCTCATATTTTTATTAAATCAAATATCCAACTCATTTATTTTATTTTATTTTCTTAACAGGACATACACACTGAGAGTGTATATTTCTATCTTTTATTAATCTAAAATTACTACATCATCGTAAGTAACTATCATACTTAACAAATTATCATTAACTCGCACATTTCCATACTAAAATGAACCACCTTTGTAGATGGTAAATTCACGTAGAGTTGATCAGATAACCAATAGAGTTTACTCAGTTCGCGAAGGACGCGTCCGTAGGCGTGAACAGATTCGCCAACGATTTATCAGGAGTGGCGTAACCATTCCTCGCCAACTTTTCGTAGATGTCGATGACATTCCTATAGAAATCGAAACCGCAATCAATAACCACGAGGAATCAGAATTCGAGTTATCATTCGCACCTCTCTCTCTGGATCCAGCGGACATTCCAGAAAATCACGAGCACGACCCCCTTGAGGAACCTAGCAACGAACTTAACAACGGCATAACAGAAATCGATTCTGACAATCTTAGTGAATGCTCTACGGTCATCCTTGATGAAGTAAATTCAGAAATATTATTCAGCGCCTGGGAAGAGAATGCTGAAATTCACTCGTCAAGAAATATAAACATACAAATCTCACCGCCATCTACTCCTCAAGACTCTCCCCCATCTTCTCCTGTATTATCACCCCTGTGGCCTGGTTACATGCCACCGAGTTACTCTCCATTAACTCTCGAAGACATCGAAGATTTTGAAAGATCAAATTTACAACGAGAAGTCGAGCCCTTATTCTCAGATGAAGAAGAAGCTGACAGGCTCGCCGATGAATACGCAAGTGCCTTAATCGAATCACTCGATAGGTCCATTGCCGAAGATGAAGAGTAAAATCTCTAAACTGTATCAATAAATTTCTACATCTATTTTTCGTTTTCCATATACATACATTCTATGAAAAAATTAATCTATACACACAAATATATACTACAAATGTATTTATTAAATTGTTAATAATAAAAATATAAACATATTATATATTTCCAAGAACAAATTGAGTCAGGTTCAATCTACCTAGAGTTTATTTCCAGTCGTCAATCCTCTCACACAAAGAAGCGAAATACTCTATCTCTCGGCGTCCCGGGGTATAGCCGGCTTAGCAGGTTGCCCTAGAAAATAAATTGAGAGATAACCTCTGATCGAATGAAATAAAATTTAGTTAGCCTAAATTAGAGTTCGAGACGTAACACAGAGGTAACTCTGTCGTTTTCATGAGGGCGAAAGTAATATCTTGAGTCACCAAGCTATAGATGACTGGGGAATCTACTTCGGAAACATCTTCAGTGATTTTATTTGCAGGTCCTTCATACAGTACGTCATACTGATGAAAGTTGCAGGTAGTAGTTGGTATTGACTTCCAGTAACTATGTCCATCATCAGCATCTAGACAGAAGCCATCGATGAGATCGCAGGTGGTTCCAGATTTTAGTTTAATTTTTCCAGTATTTAATTGTATGGGAACATATGAAGATTTTAAAGAAATCTTGACGGAGGCTTGTACGACTACGTCATCCCATGTTCCGTATGGATCATTATATTGCGTTCCCTTGCAATAACCATCAACTTGTATGCGTCCAGCAATGGTTATGCTTCTATACGTGGTCTGATTGCCTTTAATGCCAGTGATAAGACTGTTATCTCCAAGAGAAAGTGTTCCGTCTTGAAACATTCTGAGGCATTGCATGTATCCAACTTCTTGCACATAATCGGCTCGTCCGTTGTGAACAGCAGAGATGTGTGAATGCATGCCACAATGGTATATGTTTCGAGAAATTTCAACCTTACATTGTATTACTTCAGTGTGACTATAATCCGATAATTGTAAGAGTTGAATGTGGATTTCAGTTGTATTAGGTTTCTTTATATTTAATTCGCATTCTCCCACATCAAGTAGAGAAACGGCTGTTACGTTTAGGTGTTGTCCGCCACAATCGAATCCAATTAGAGCGGCAGTTTTGCTCAGGAATAATATTAGGGTTACAAGTATCATGCTGATTTCTGTAATAATTACAAATTCAAGTAGATGTAATATTCAGTATATTATATAATTTGAATAATTACATAGTTACCATTTCTTTCCTTTTACATATGGTTATATAATGTATTTCTACATGTATTGTTCTACGAGTATAGTGGTTATGTAAATGATTATGATACGTGTGTATAATATTCGATTGAATACATATATACTTATATTTCTGAAGGCTAATATAGGGCCTTTTATATTGATGTAATATTTCATTGTTTAATGTGTTTTTTTTTCTCCTTTTTTTTTCATATTTTATTCTATGCATATAATTGTAAATATATATATATATTCAAGTATATGGATTTGTGAGTATATATATTTTTTGTGAGTATATTGCATAAGTATATAGATTTAATATTTATATGATTTTGTAATACTCGATTGGTTAGATGTGCATATATATATAGATATACATATGGGTATAAAAAGCTTAAATACAAAGTTATTATTTTACTTATTTGTTATTATTATTATTTTTTTCGTTCTTTTCTTTTGTTAATTTTCTTGCATAATAGATATATAATTGTAGGTATGTGTATATATATATATATATGATTATCATAATGATTATTGATAGATGATTATATATTGATGTATATGTTTTTGCTGAAGCGGGAATTGACCGTATAATTACTATTTAGTCAGAAAACATTTCGTCTAATATCTCAGGATCGTTAGGATCAATTCCAGTTTCTAGTGCAGCATAGTCTATTTCTAAAGTATTGGATACTACGGATATTCCAACTATCGTTCGATACAACTGTTCCTTTTTTGCTTCGTGAATTTTTCGTACAAATTGAAAGTATGCTTTAATACAGGTATCGCAGTTGAAGAGAATTTGTTTCTCTGTACATGAAAATTCTTTACAGTTGGCGCATTTCCGGTTTGGAACATTACCGTATTGAAATGAATGCGTATAACGTGTAACTACTCGATTATAGATAGCGGGGTTATAACAGTTAGTACATACAATATATGGACTTTCAAAATTTAATACATCATGTGTCATTATTTTGACGCATTGTATATAAAGAGAGTTAAAAATTGAGTCATCTAGAAATGGATGTGCAAGCGGTTTTGTTTTAAAATGTGGACACATTTCCTTTATGCATAGATTCCTTGTTTGTGAGTTCTACAAAAAGCAAAGACATTTAAGTGGCCAATGTCTCTTCCTTGGTTTCTTTCGAATATTGCTCTTTCCATGTATGAATATACACAATCATTGCATTCAAATATCGGACGCTTGAATTCTAGGGAAGAATTGCAGTACTCACATTTAGGAAAGCTTATATCTCCGTATGTTACCCAGTGGCAAACAATTAAAGCAGCATTTTTTCTTAATTGTCGCAACCTGTAACACGCGCAACACATATAGGTACTTTTACGACTTTTCTTTCCTATGAATCTCCGATAAAATATTACCTTTTTACATTCAGCTTTATGAAAATTTGACAGGTGTGGAATAAGATCGTGTATGGGGTGACTGCAGGAAGGCTCATATATATCGTTCATTTTAAATTTCAACAACTCCTGTTAAAGTTAAATTCCAATGCTTGCTCGGTTTGCAAGTAGTAAATCAGGCACTTCCTACACTCAACGAGAGGGGTACATAGAGCTATATATCTATCACACATACAGCATCTAATGTTATAAAGGATACGGGGAGGGAAATAGGAAACGTGATGATAGATTGCAAGTTGCAGGGGTTTGTTTTCATAGAATGTGCAAGAATGGCAATAATAGCGATCATTGGAGGGACAGAAAAACCCATTCAATTCCTCATGCAATAGCTTTGAAAGATTGTAGAGGGTTTGATCGGATAGTATTTTAGGCAAGACTTCCATTCGATCGGTTCAATGAAAGTTCTCGTTCTCGCTCTCCTGCTAAATAGAGCAGAAGACACTGTCGGCAATCAACTAGAGGGGTTATGATAGATACATTGCATTCACAAACACAGCATTTAGATTCAGTAATATCAGAAAAGTCTTCAGAAACACTATGGTATTTCAGCTGAGTTTCCGTAATTTCAAAACGTTCTGCACATGAAGGGCAGTAATATTTATAGTCGTTCGATAAGTATGCATCGAATACTTCATGCACTACATGAGATAGAGTATCTGGATTTTCCTCAGAAGACATATTTAGGGAAAATTTAGCTGGAAGGTCCGACTTCGCTTATCGAGAGGTTAGAAGGATGAGTGATTCGGAATATTTCTTCGATGTTCCTTAGACAAATCGTGCAATCAGAAATTGGTCGAATAATAGTAATAGGACGTTGGCAATAAGAACAGATGGTTCTATAAGGATGAGGGGCGATAGAAATTATATGTGTATCAATTGGTAAGAATGACCGTTGAGAAATAGGTGTTTGTAGCAGACAAAAGCAAGCACAACAGTAATGATTATGATTGTTTAAATTTAAATAATCATGTAATTTTATACACAAAGCGTTAAGCGGAGGTGTTTGAGACATTGTGGGACATGGTCTCAGAAAGAAGGCTAATAGAACGAAAATTGAAGAATAAGAATGATCATGAAGAAATATATACATATATTTATATACGTATGTGTATGATATTACACCTTATTCTACGAGGTCTACTTCGAAGATTTTAAGAGCTAGCGGATATCTTAAACAATCGACGTGAATTGACGAAGCTTCTAATGAACGGATAAGTTCACTTATTTTCCGAACGCACGCTAGGCAATCATCAATTGGCCTGGTCGCGATGACTACGACGCCACAGGAAGAACAGTAGCTGTCTCTTGCGACGTGACTGTTGATGAATAAGTGCTGGTTTAAAGGCCGATATTGTTGGCGAATAATATTGGTTTTGAGTTGAGAGTAGCACTCGTTGCATAAATTTGTCTCATCCAGGAGACAGATAGCTCCCTTTACGTATGCACAATGTGCGAATAAGAAATTGTCCTTTATAAGGTGCAGGTCTTTCGACTGAGGCTGCGGTTGAGTCGGCTGCCTATGCCAAAGCATCTGTAACAAAGATTGTAATTTTATTAATTCATCCCGGCTGGAGATGAGACATTTTAAGCTTGTTCGTGTGCACGACTTTTGTGTGTTTTCCAATTTTAAGTTTGACATTATTGGGAGGTAAAATTTCGATAATTTCATAAGGTCCAGTATATTGGTCAGAAAATTTCCCTTTCTGTGGTTCTTTCAATAGGAATACTTGCATTCCTACTTGAAGTGTTTGTTGTTTTATTGCTCGGTCGTAATATCGTTTACTTCTCTCTTTGGCTTGAATTAAATTTTGTTTAGCCGATATTTGAAGGTCTGTTAATTTATTAAAAAGAGTAATTATATAATCTTGATATGTTGGTTCTACGTTTTCTTCAATAATAGGATGAGCAGAAGGTAGACGAGCTATTCGTCCGAATACTAGTTCGTATGGGGAATAATTGGTTCCTTCATGAACGCTGGTATTGTATGAGAACATAGCGAGTCTGATGTATTCGTCCCAGTTTGCTTCTCTATCTATCTGGGTTTTTAAATACTCCGTTAGCACGTGATGTGATCGTTCTAATGATCCATTTGATTGAGGGTAATATGCTGTAGTTTTAAAGTGTTGAATACGAAATTTTTTCGTTAATTGTCTAATTAATGCGGATAGAAAGTTTGTTCCTTGGTCTGTTAATATAGCACGGGGTGTGCCGTATATACAAATAAATTCTTTTGTAAATGCATCGGCAATGGTTAGCGCGGTAGCTTCCGGTAAAGGTACTGCTACAGAATATTTAGTAAGTAAATCTTGCATGGTTAAGACATATTGATTATTATGATCGG